TGTGCAACATCTTTTTTCATTCATCAAATTTTGAAATTACACGGAATTATGAAAGTATTAGACACTAAAGCATAAAAGATAACATAGTTATATGACTCCGAATCAAAGAAACAATCTTTGATGTGTTGGTATAGAATTCACGGCTAAGCCGGAAGACATAATTTTAGTCGCTTTGACTCGCGACTTTAAAGGTTATCCATTTCTTCAAAATTCGTCAAGACGAAGTCGGTAGCATCTTCTTCTAGTCCCATAGAGAAAACTGCACAAGAATACAAGTCGAATACGAAAACACTCGGTTTTGGTTCCGAAAAAGATCTTACTGTCCATGAGAAAAGAAAAGGTGGATGGTTCTCTCCGCGAATGGAAAAGAGTATCGATGAGATCTCTTTGGGAGAAAATTACAAGGTTTGAGAACCCATAAAACTTTGTGCTTCTCCACAAGGAGAAGCCAATTTGCTCATAAGTAGATGAGAGTTTTAAAACTCTTAGATCAGGATCGCCGGAAAACCATATCGGACCGCCGGAAAACCAGCTCCGATGAGGCAGGGAGAAGGCCCTAGGGCCCAAAACAGATTCTCTACCTTTGTTGGGCCTTAGGCAGCCAATAACACTCTCTCGGCCTATCAATAATGAAGCCCAATCACGACCCATCCTGTCTGAAGCCCAAACTCGGCCCATCTAATCTTTTTTCACTTGGCCGGAGGATGGAGAAGTGGAGAATCGGAGCCGCTTGATCGGATTTTTCCCAGCGGAAACAAAGGATCTGCAAGGGGGCTCGCCGGTTGATAGCCAGAGGGAGGAGAGCAGTGGATCTGAAGGTGACAGGTCTCTCCTTGCCTCTATTCGACAAAACCAAGCTGACGCTCTGAAATCGACGAGCTTGTAAGGTTGTGAGTGTAGACGAGGTCGGTGGTTGTTCGAGCTTCCGATGGATTTTTTGCTGAAGATCGATAGAAGCCCGAGGGGGTGCAAGGCCGGGGAGGTAGGTCTTCGGTTAAAACAACCGAGAAGGGAGTACAGACGGTGATGGAGCAAGATCCATGGTGAATCTGCTTGCTTTCGAGATGGCGGTGGGCGGCGGAGAAAACCCATGAGGAGAGTTGGATTTTGAAACTCTGGGCCAAAGCCAAACACGACCTAATAAAACGACACGAAGAGAAAAAAGAGCATAGATATCGGACCACAATCCGGCGCCGTCAAAAGGGGATCTTATGGTTGCTTCGATATTTGAGCTTGAGAGAGCGGCTAGGGCGTCTCTTGAATATATAATTTATTGATCTTGTTTTTTCATCGATTATTTTCTATATAAGTCATTATCTACACAATAACGCATGTCTACAATCAACTGGGAACAAAAAAAAATACAGTTAGTATTGAATTGTTTCCGTTCATTGTGATGTCGTCCATATTGAAAAACATATATTTTGTTTCGTTTGTAATGTCCGACAAACTCATATAAATCTAAAATTTATTTGATTTATTGTATACTATATAATTTACACGAATACTGATGATCAATTTTACGCGTAAAAGATATTGAAATAAATTATATTTGTATATGTTTTAATCAATTTTACACATAAATATATTAAAACTCACGGCTTGATCAAAAGTATTCAACTTCATGC